AGCGTTGTAGAGGTGATTCCACCAACTTCGACACTCGAGACGTACAACAACAGCAACAGCATTAACAACAGCAAGGTATAAAGCTGTTAACAGATAGGAGGAAAGACGAAAAGAGACAAAAAGACTTTCTGAAAAGCCTAAATCTAAACAATTTCTTTCAGCTAGACAAGAAAGTGGCTCAAAAGTGGATAATTTGACAAAACCAAAGCCAAAACCTATCAAAACTGTCGATTTCTCTGCTCCCAGTCCTTCCTACATCCATTCATATGCCGAGACCGAGTTTATTGTTGAACTTGGCGTATTCCGGAGCTTGTTAAAGGTTTGAAAATTATTTTTCAACTATTTTTGAATTATTTAAAAAATTATTGGAAAGATAGTAAGGCTAGAAAGTTGATAAAATTCTACTTACAAGCTTTTCTCCATGACTCTGTAAGCGCTTTTTAATCTGACTTTTGAAATTTGACCATCATCTGACAATCTTACGGTAAAGCAGTGGTCGGTAGATTACCGTAATCTTTAGGTTACTGTAGCCCCTCGATTACCGTAATCTTTAGGTTACTGTAGCTCTTCGATTGCCGTAACCTTCAAGTTACCGTAACCGTGTACTTAATCTATTAGGTTGATGCAAAAGTCTTTTTCATTTTTTTCGTACTTCTTTTGAAAAATAACAAAGTCATCAATTAACCTATGGTTTGCTCTAAATGAAAAGTGTTTATTGTTGAATTTCCCATCTTTTTAAGTCAATTTGGGTTCACTTTCAAGCAAATTCGAGAGTGAAAACGGGTTTTTCATAAAAATCTATAAAAACCTCTATAAAGAAATCGGCTGAATCAATTTCTCTGAAAATCTGAAAAAATATCTAACTTTTTGTGCTCTATCTTTTATTTATTAACATCAAGATTGGTTTCCTTAGCTAAAGCGTCTAAAATGCATCATCGAGCCGTCGCCTTTTTTGACTACCCGACTTCAGGCTCTCAAAAAAATCTAGACATAAGACATTTTAAACTCGTTTTAATGTCATTTTGCAGAAAAATAATTGGCCTTTCCAATGCAATAAACCGTTGTTCAATTGGTGCATTTGTTACTTTTTAACGGAAGTACGAAAAAAATGAAAAAGACTTTTGCATCAACCTAATAGTTAATAAATCCTAGCAACCTCGTAGATTACGGTAAAATAAAGTAGGAAACGCGAAAAGAGCTAAAATTAGAGCTCTAAGCCAGCTTACGGTAACTTGAGCATAGATTGGAGCTTTATTCGGGCCACAAAAATCATAACTAAAACCAAATATCATCTTTACAATGTGAAATGGATAAACAAGAAGCTGGGTTTAGATTTTAAAGGAAACAGCTTATAAAACAGAGCTTAAGAGGAAACAAAGCTTATAAAGATCAAAGCAATTATTTCTAGAGAGGACTCAACAAAGCAAACGCTTTTGAAGAAAAGGTGGCGATTGAGAAAGAATATAAAATGCGGTTAGAAGCCAACAAAATAGCTGACGAAGAAATCTTTCTTTATGTAAACTCACTTCGATATGAAAACGATAAAGTTTTGCAAGAAAATGGAATTCGCAATGAAGTTGGCGAAGAGGTAATAGAGAAGTCTAACAGTTAAATAGCACAATTTTAGGGTTACACTGATAGTTTCACTCTGAAAAGTCATCTTTCTGACCCAATCCAACTTTATCGAAGACTTGTACGGAAAGAATGGAAAAATGACGTAAGTTTTCAATTAGATTAAGGAAATTCTTTAATTAATCTAGTTCTTTTATCCAATCCTTTTCCTAATTTCTTAAACTTATCAAAAATTCAGCGTTTCGGTGACACTCTTGCAATCAATTATGAAGATGTTCAAAAAGAAGTTGGCAATCTATTCAAATCGGTAATGTCGAAAATAATGTCAGTTACAACTTTTTTTTTCCAGAAATTCCTTAAATCTCAATTCCTTGCCGAACAAATTATTGCTCTAATCGATGAAACGAGAGTGATCCAAGAGGAATTTTTCAACTTGACACAAGAACATGATGACGAGAAACGACTGAAGAATTTGCTTGCTTTGACTGCTGAAACTTGTTGGACTGGGTTCTGGAATGAGATACAGGTGAGTTGGCTATTTAAGAGCTTTGCGATACCTGATTGTGAATGTCAATGATTCATCAGTAGGGTAGATAGACAAGCAGAGTTACGGTAGATAGAGAAGCAGAGTTACGATAGATAGACAAGCATAGTTACGGTAGATAGACAAGCAGGGTTACGGTAGATAGAGAAGTAGGGTCACGATAGTTTTCGAAAGTTGAAAGTTGAAACTTGTTGGACAGGGTTCTAGAATGAGATACAAGTGGGTTGACTATTTAAAAGCTTTAAGATGACTGACACTTAAACCAAATCAACTCCAACTTGTGCTTTCATTACTCCATAAATTTATTATCATTTGAAAGCTCTTGAGTTCCACTATCTTTTGGTAAAAATTTATAGAAAAATGTTTAACAGGAAGAAAGTTACGATCGTTGTTAGTTTAAGAGTAGTCTTTGTAGTTTATAGGCGTCAATATCTAGTGTCTGTTGTGTCTTTTGACAGGATTTCACGTTTTAGGAAACAAGTTTTAAATGCTAAATGGTGGATGTAACGAGAAATCAAATGTTTAAGCACAAATTAGCAAACGGAACTTGTTTTCCGATCCACAAATGATGCTTGACTAAAAGTAGTGAACTAATGAAACTTTAGAGTCATTCTTCAACAAGAGATCATCAAGAGATTCGGCAACATCTAAAGAATCGTTTCCCCAATTTGAAGTTGGTGAAGTCAGAAGCTCAAAAAAAGCTTCAACCTTCAACTCCACCACGTCTCTCACTCGATAATCGGATGTCAATCCCACTCATCTTGATCCTAGGTGCTCTTTGCTTTTTATTGTACAGGGCGGGCCAAAATTACCGTCACATATAAAAAAGTCTCTGTATAAAAACAACTCAAAAAGTCAAAGATTTTTCATAAAAATAGCTTTTATTGTCTCATAACAATTTATAAAAACTATTTCTTTTCAAACAGATCTCCATTAGCTTTTACACAGGCGTCCAAAAGTCGTGGAAAAGCCTCGACCGTGGCTCCAGCGAGATCCAGCTCTTCCCAAGCCTTTTCGAGCGCTTTTTTCAAACTAACCACAATTTTGTGTGGTTTTGAACCTGCTTTGGCTTCAAGGACACTCAAGACAGAAAAATCCATCGGATTAAGATCCGGACTACTTGGCTACTCATTGAATGAGATAAAATCTGGGAGATTTTGGCGGCCAAAGTCTTGCACTTTTTTGGTCTTGTGTGCCGGCGAACTGTCCTGTTGAAATGTCCAAATCCGGTTTCCAAAATGCTGATTTGCCCAAGGAAGAACATCTGCTTTTAGAACATCCAGATAATTGTCAGCATTGACCTTGACACCCTGTGGAACAAAGTCTAGCGGAGTCTTTCCTGTGGCAGTGATACCCCCAACGACCATGATTGATGCAGGATGAGAGCTTCTTGAGATTGTGCCTTTTGTTTGAGATTTTGCATAAGTGCGGCCATTTTGTTTGTTCAGAACCGTTTTAACAGTGAATATCTTTTCATCTGTAAAAACAATGTTTCGGTGTCTGTTTCGACTGAATCGAGGCAGCAATCCTTCTGAACAACTTTTCCTTTTTCTTTTTCCGTCAGCTCATAGCATTTGTGATTTATTTTTCTTGTAGGCCTTTAGCTTGAACTTGTTTTCGATGATTCTTCTAAGGGACGTTCGCTTAATCCCCATTTTTTGTGACATTTTCCGCACCGATTGGTTTGGCGTTTTTAACAGGCGATCCCTCACCTTTTTGACATTTGCTGAAGTTGTTACCGTTCGCTGGTCTATCAGAATCCGTTCCCCAAAGTATTGAAGCGTGCGATTGTTCGATGCACAAACATTCGATTCACTTTGAGACGTTTTGCAATCTCACTCGCTGAGAGTCCCTGTTTGCGCAGCGATCGATCCTCGATGCGATGATGCTCGAACCATTCTAAAAATAAACATTCTTATGACATGTTTTTCTTGTATTAATATTGAACAATAAATAATATTAACAGAAAAATCAGAAAATAGCACAAGTTTGAAGATATGCCCATTTGCGCGCGAGTGAGCATCGTAACGGTAATTTTGGCCCACCCTGTACAGTTTTTCCGTTAAAAAACCAATAGACAGTCCTTTGCAAAAAGCTCATAATATTGCTACAACTGTTTCCCCAGATCTCAGATCTGCAAGAACTGAATGCAACTTGGGAGTACTGTAACTCATGCAAACTTGCAGTAGACAAGTACCTGCAAATTCATAGAATCCCTGCAATAAATCTCAATTTAAAGTTAATCAACTATGAAGATCTTTTGAGAAATCATACAATAATGTCAAAAGTTGGATGGAGAAGAGTCAAGAGGGAATTTTCGGAGTCTGTTTTGCAACAACATAACTTTGTTGAGACTCCATGAAATTCATAAAAAAGCTTTACCAAACTTGAGATAAAGGTTCAATTGTTGAGGTCCAGATAAAGGTTCAATTGTTGATGAAAAGCATGAAACGAAGCAGCCAGTGATTAAAGAGCCTCCAAACAAAGTCGTTGAATACAATAATGATGTAAAATCTCGCAAAATCTCCCAATGGATCCTGCAGTGATTCAAGCAATTCCAGAAATTCAAGCTAAATAAGTCAGGGGCATAAAGGGAAAAAACTCGTGACCCTAACGACTAATGAGCATTGAAAAGAGTGTCTATTGAGTCTTGAAATCTTTATGTCTTTTGCTTGTGTGAAATGAAAGTTCTAAATAAATTCACTCCAAAATGAGACCCAAAATGTAGAGCCATGAATTCTTTCCAGTTTTGTCATAATGCCATTTAGAACCTCAAATTTCTAGATTTTTACTCGTTTTAAGAATTAAAGCATGGCATCTACACAAACGATTGTCGAATAGAAGAATTTTGGAGGAATCAAGAGAACCATTCAACTTCCAAGCAATGGTCCGTACGGTGGTTGCAGGGTTCATCAAACGGTTGGTAAACTTAAGCTTTAAAAGTGAAAGTTCTTAACGATAGTACTTTCACTACGACTTTAGGTTACTGTAAGTGCATTTGAAGTCAAATCATACTAGTTTCTTAATCAAAACCAATAATTTCAGTTAGCCAGCAACCCCTGCCAGCCTCATCTCGACCACCCTCCGATCTACCACCGATTACCAATCCAATCGGACTTTTCCTAAGAAAAACTATTGTTGAACAGTTACCATTGCCTGAATTTTGAGTTTTTTATTCGTATTCAAGTTTCTTGCCAACTTCATAGCTTATTTTAGTTAGATCTTTTGAAAATGCTTCCCAGTTTATACTGTACGATAAATTCTTGCTTTTTAAATTTCTTGATTTCTGTTTAATAACAATAAAACAATTCCACTTCATCTGTTAATTCTGCTTAACGAAAGCCGATTGATTATTTTCGGAATACGCTTTTCAACGAGTGTAATGAGCTCGTATCTATGGCTATGAAATCTGTTTGGTCTGAAATCGAAGAGGCAAGTGAGAGGGTCAAACATTCGTTTTCTAAAACGTATCAACTTTCAAAAATTACCGTAATCTTGTCTGGATTTTTTGTCCAATCTATCTATTTTTGCAGCCTTCGATATCCTTTCTACTTACTGATAGAAGAAAGCTGCTTACCCTAGGCTATCATATCCTACATTTTCTAAGCGAGAGAGTATGGGTGTGTCTGTGTGTGGGTCTGTCTCGTATGCTATTTTAGTTCCATTCCGTTTTGGGAATATTCAGCTGTGATAAATTTTTCGTATTTGGTTTTGAAAAGTTATTCAAAAGTTTTATTGGGTTAAAAATTGTAGAAAATATTTCTCAAACATAAGAGGATTTCTGAAGCTGATGTTGAGCTGGGTTTGGGCCTTGGTGCCCAAGTGGACCGTGTTGAAATGAGACATTCTGAAAATCTGTTCTGGTTTGGCTTCAATTTTTCTCAAAACCTGATGGTGTTGCACAAATATTGGGAAATTCTAATCCAAATATTGCATCAATGACGGATGATGGAGTTGAATCGACAACCGATGCGCGACTTTGTAGGCAAAATCTTGCGTCTCCTCGAAACACAAATCGTTCCTCTGAAAAAGCACTGTAGATTATTGAATGCTGAATGCTAAACCGTGCCCCACGGCGACCGTAGGCCCCCACTTGTCTTTTTTTCCCTGGCATTTCAGTCTAATACATGCCCACTTTCCGTAATCTAATGTGAATATCTATTCCTAGTTTTATCCAATTCAACTTTGTCTGATTTGGCGAGCATTCAAAGATTCTGGTACTTGGATACTAACGAAAACGAAGCGAAAATTGTGCCGACGAATTTGGCGCAATTTTTTTTGCGCCGGTGAATTTTCGCTTTTGGCTTGCGGCGCAATCTTCACGGCGTAATCATCATGGTCCCGTTTTTGTTTGTGTCCGCAAATGACGTTGCGCAAAAGACTTGTGCGCAAAAATACGTGCGGAAAAGACGGTTTTGTGGGTGCGCAAATGGCGGTGCGGTATTGTCATAGTCCCGAAAATCTCATGGTTGTGGCGCTATTTTCTTGCTTCTAATTCTTTTAAACACTCGCTGATTTGCTCTGTATCTAAGTTTAACTCTGAAATTATTGTAGTGTATGTTTATCTTGCCAAAAAGACCCGCTTTTTTTATTATTTATTGCCCTCCTGATGTAAATTTAGCAGACACATCTTCTCTTTTTAACCATCGATCAACGTTTTTAAATTCTCCTGAGTTAAACATTCTACTAGGTGTTTTTAATTTCCGTGTGGCTTTTTCAATGATTCTTTTGCATTCGATATAAGTATCATCATCCCACTATGTCACTTGAAAGTTTCCTTATTACGAGCTCTGTTTTCATTTTAAATACATTTCCTATTTTAGGTGATTTGTGACTGTCCAGACGACGTAATCGATCTGCAAAGGTTGTCGCCTCTCCCGGACGCTGACCATCATTCAATCAGCTTCAAAATTGGTTCAACCTGTTTTACTCCGAAGGAAAGGGATCAAGTCTGTTTGCATTTTGATTGATTATGACAAAGCGGCGGTGTGTATACTAGATTCTCTAAATCGATCAGATTTTTGTGCCTCCTCAAATTCTATTGACAAAGATTTGTGACATCTTTTGCGCTAGTCTCCTAAAATCGATGGAATTAGCTTGTGGTCACTCTCCTTAAATGACCCAGTCGCACTTCTTGAGAGCCAAAAGTAGACTAGCCCAATGTTTCCGTCGTTCCTATTTGAAAACCCTTAAACGACCCTCTAGTTAGTAGGGAACTGAATAAGCTGTTCAAATATTATCGTAAATTTGAGGAGAATATGGAAAGAAATCCCATTAAATCGAAAAACGGGAAGTCTTTTTACACATTTATTAATTCTAAAACTAAGGACCAAACCAAGCATCAAATTCCTTCCTTGATCCATCCAATTGCTAAATTCTTTCACAGCGTTTGCAATAACTAGAAACCTAACAAACCCTTTCTGGCTTTTCCCCCTAAACACATCCCACCATAAGCAAATTTTCTTCTTACAGCCAGCAACATCGAAGCTGCTTTCAAAAAGTTAAGGCCAAAAAAATTGCTTAGTCCAGACAAAATTACTGCTTTTGCTCTAAAGAGGCTGTGGAAAATTCTAGTCTATCCTTTTGCCTAAATGCTTTAATAAAATTTTACTTATCTCTGAGGTCTCAACTTCCTGGAAACAATCTCTTGTGTCGTCTCTTCTCAAAAAAAGACCCTCCAAGGACATATTCGCTAATTACCGTTCCATTTCTCTAACCTCCCCTATGTCAAAAGTTTTTGAAATCATCATAAAAGATAGAATTTTTCCTCATCTTGACAAATACAACCTTTTCTCTGACCAACGGTTTGGCTTTTTTAAAAATAAATCCACCATTCTCAACTTATTTTAGCCTATCAATCTTTTCTCAAAGATCAAAAAGAAAAATTCAGCTCACAATTCGAAGCCACCATGAGATTGAATTTGTTTCCTTTTAGGAACTGCCTCCAGTGGAAAATCGATTCAATGCCAATCTCAAAGTTCAACTGCCTCCAGTAAACAAGCATTGGACTAAGCTTCAGGAATCGAAAGTTTCAGATGATCAACCAACTATTTCTGCAAGTCCAGGTCAGTGTTTTTTAAACTTTAACTAGTTTTGTTTAACTAGCTAGTTTTGTATTTTAAAGGAAAACACACTCAATCTGGCGCACTCAATTCTTCATTCTACATGAAGTCAGTCTTGGACTTTGTGCTCAAAACGCACCCCTTCTGGTGCACTGAATTCTTCATTCTTTGCAATCATTGTCGCAAGTTCAAAGAAGCATTGAGTACACCAGATAGGGTGCGTTTACAAGCGTAAGTTACGGTGAGAGCAAGGGTCACTGTATTCCTTTTTGTAAGTACCACTTACGGTCACGGTAAGTGAAGAAAATGCAGAATTGAGTGTACTAGAAATGGTGTGTTTCCATTTTTCAACCCGAAGTACTCTCTTTCAGACTACAGCGCTGCCGAAAAACTGATGAAACATGAACTAAAAGTGTTCGAAATGGTAGTAAAGGTGTGGAAATTCTTCTCAAATCTAGAAAAACCATTAAATTTAGGGAACATCGATCGCTCAAAGCAGATTTAAAGCCTTTCTCAAGCACGAAATGAATCTAACTTTAAAAAATCTCATTGTCAAGTACAAAAAACAACAGCTTCCCGAAAGGGATCTGAGGAAATTCAAGGATTTATTGATCACAGATGGGCTAAGATTTGTGAGGGAAAATTTGCGGATCGAGTTGACCGCAAATGAGATTGAGGTGAGTTTAGCCTGCTGCAGACGGGTTCTTTGTGCTCGAATGGAAACACATCCTTTCTGGCGCACTGAATTCTTCATTTTTCAAGTATTAACGACTTGGAAAAGAGGTATACAGTTCACCGGGCAGAGTGCGTTTCCATTTCACTCCACAGCACACCCTAGTCAATCATTTGGTGACGAACTTTTTAGAACGCATACTTTCTGGCGCACTGAATCAGCTAAAAAGTTAACTTTAGAATCCAGTCGAGAGAGTCATATTCACTGAAGAGGAAAGAAATGTTTTGAAAAATCAGGCTGAAAAACCAAGAGGATTGCTGATGGTGGGTTGAGAGGAGTTGAGAAAAGTTACAAATCTGAAACTTATACACTAGTGATTTAACTGTTTCACCGCTGAATGTTTGCCATATTGTGTTCATTTTCAGGGGAAAGAGCTCGACTACCAGGTAGTTCAACAGCAATTCGCACATCAACAACGGCAGGTTGGAAAGTTTGAAGCCTGTGCATTGTGCATATATTTACACTATGTTAAGTTCAGCAACCTGACTGAATTTTCGTTTTAGGACTTCGAAAAAGTGACCAATTTGAATAGTGCCACTTTGGAGATTCTGATCGAGAACTCGAACTCGAGACGAACATTTTTCCTTCGAGCTTTGGTGAAAGATGGTTACGATCAAGAATTGACGAATGTGCTCAATCGGAGTCTCGCAGAAGAGTGGATGATGTTCTTCGAGAAAGTGCCGGTAGGTTGGGAGATGCTGAGCCGAATCGTGTAGACGAAAATTAAAAGGACTAAAAGTAGATGACTTTAACGTTATTCAAGTTTAATGCTTTGAGCTGGAGGTCGGCTCGCTTGGACTAAAGTGCTTTCTAAAATGGGTCAACTTTTCTACTAACATTTCTACTAGTGGGTCAATTTGAAACCTTTGAAAACTATCGTAGTCTTGCCTCGTTGGTATCCAACTACCAGAATCTTTGAATGCTCGCCAAATCAGACCAAGTTGAACTAGGAATCGATATTCACATTAGATTACGGAAAGTGGGCATCTATTAGACTGAAATGCCGGACAAAAAAGACAGGTCGGGGCCTACGGTAGCCGTGGGGCACGGTTTTGCATTCAGCATTCAATAATCTACGGTGCTTTTTTAGAGGAACGATTTGTGTTTCGAGGAGATGCAAAATTTCGCCTACAAAGTCGCCGATCGGTTGTCGATTCTTTTTCCATTATCCATGTCTATGTGTGTCAACTCATTTTAGCTAGATCTTTTGAAAGTGCTTTCGAGTTTATACTGTACAATAAGTTCTTTCTTTTTAAATTTCTTGATTTCTTTGTGTTGATCGCGCTGCGTGATTGAGGAAACATCAAGTTTTCAACGTTTATCAATTCAATTTGTGCTATGGTGCTGTGATAAATAGTTTTCGATTTATTTTCCAGCTCAAAATTTTGCGAATTTTGTGACACAAAATTTTGTGTCAACAATCGAATCACAATACTTCTAAGTGCCCATATTGAGAAATCGTTCTCAAAACTGAAAATCGAGTTTAGTCAACAGCTACGAGAGGTAAGGTTTCTTAGGTTACAATTTGGATAAATCAGTTTCAGACAAAATTCGATTCTCTACCAACTTTGGAGGATGGTCATGCAAAAGTCAAATTGATGATCGAAAAATTGAGAAAACTTTGGATTCACAAGAGTTTACTGAAAAGGAATGGGGATTGATTGAAGAGAAGTGGCAGATAGAATTGATGGTTGGTAGCTAAACTTGATTGGAAATTGCAATCAACCGAATATTGAATCAATCAAATTCAAACAATTATCAATCTACTTATTCAGAAGATTTACACCCAATCTCTTGATTTTATCGAAAAAGATCTCACGTTGAGGCGCGAAACGAAACGAATGAGAGAGATGAACACAAAAGTCGTTTTGGATGATGCCATTGAGAGCTTTGAAACGACTGTAAAGGTAAAAAAGTAGCTTTTGATCTAATCTAAAAATAAAATGATTAGTTAATGATAATTACTTTTGTAATTTTTAGAGAATCAATGAAGATTTGTTTGAAAGGACTGTTCATCGAGCAAAGCAAAAAGGGATCTCAAATCTAGAGAGATTACTCGATGCGGAGAGTTTCACTAACGCTATTGAGGAGTTCAAGGCCAGAGCACAGGTCGAGAAAATTGCAATTGTTAGAATCATTTTTAGTCTAGTTATTCTAGAATCGAAATTATCTTGAAATTTAGATCATTTCTGATCAGAGAAAAGTGGAGCTCAACAAGGAAAGAAAAGCCAAGGAGGATCGGGAAAAACGATTGAAAAAAGAAAAGGAAAAGGAAAAGATGAATGCAAAGGTTTGTAAATTTTCAAAAATTCAAATCAAATTCGACTTAGTTACTGAAAGAACAAACTCCAAGCGTTGTAGAGGTGATTTCACCAACTTCGACACTCGAGACGTACAACAACAGCAACAACATTAACAACAGCAAGGTATGAAGCTGCTAACAGATAGGAGGAAAGACGAAAAGAGACAAAAAAGACTTTCTAAAAAGCCTAAATAAAAACAATTTGTTTCAGCTAGACAAGAAAGTGGCTCAAAAAGTGGATAACTTGACAAAACCAAAGCCAAAACCTATCAAAACTGTCGATTTCTCTGCTCCCAGTCCTTCCTACATCCATTCATATGCCGAGACCGAGTTTATTGTTGAACTTGGCGTATTCCGGAGCTTGTTAAAGGTTTGAAAAATGATTTTTGAACTTAAAAGTAAGGCTACGGGGTAGAAAGTTGATAAAATGCTTACTGAGAATCTTTTCTCTGACCATGATTGTAAGGGCTTTAAAGTATGACCATAATCTGACAATCTTACGGCTAAGCAGTGGTCGGCAGATTACCGTAATCTTTAGGTTGCCGTAACCCCTCGATTACCGTAATCTTTAGGTTACTCAAACCCTTAGATTACCTTAGGTTAATCTTTAAGTTAACATAACGATGTACTTAATCTAGTTAATAAACCTAGCAATCTCGTAGATTACGGTAAAAATAAAGCAGGAAACACGGAAAGAGCTAAAATTAGAGCTCTAAGCCAGCTTGCGGTAACTGGGGCATAGATTAGTGTTTTATTCTGGCCACAAAAAAATCATTACCAAAACCAAATCTCATCCTTAAAATCTGAAATGGAAAAGCGCTAAGCTGGGTTTAGATTTGAAAGCAAACAGAGCTTAAGAGGAAATAAAGCTTATAAAGATCAAAGCAATCATTTCTAGAAAGGACTCGACAAAGCAAACGCTTTTGGAGAAAAGGTGGCGATTGAGAAAGAATATAAAATGCGATTAAAAGCCGACAAAATAGCTGACGAAGAAATCTTTCTTTATGTAAACTCACTTCGATATGAAAACGATAAAGTTTTGCAAGAAAATGGAATTGGCAATGAAGTTGGCGAAGAGGTAATAGAGAAATCTAACAGTTAAATAGCACAATTTTAGGGTTACACTGATAGTTTCACTTTGAAAAGTCACCTTTCCGACTCCAGGCAACTTTATCGAAGACTTGTACGGAAAGAATGGAAAAATGACGTAAGTTTTCAATTAGATTAAGAAAATTCTTTAATTAATCTAGTCCTTTAAACTAGTTCTTTTATCTAATCTTTACTTAATCCTTTTCCTGATTTCATAAACTAAACAAAAATTCAGCGTTTCGGTGACACACTTGCAATCAATTATGAAGATGTTCAAAAAGAATTTGGCAATCTATTCAAATTGGTAATGTCGAAAATGATGTTACAGTTACAACTTTTTTTCCAGAAATTCCTCAAATCTCAATTCCTTGCTGAACAAATTATTGCCCTAATCGATGAAACGAAAGTGATCCAAGAGGAATTTTTCAACTTGGCACCAGAACATGATCACGAGAAACGACTTAAGAATTTGCTTGCTTTGACCGCTGAAACTTGTAGGACAGGGTTCTGGAATGAGATACAGGTGAGTTGGCTATTTAAGAGCTTTGCGATACCTGATTGTGAATGTCAATGATTCATCAGTAGGGTAGATAGACAAGCAGAGTTACGGTAGATAGAGAAGCAGAGTTACGATAGATAGACAAGCATAGTTACGGTAGATAGACAAGCAGGGTTACGGTAGATAGAGAAGTAGGGTCACGATAGTTTTCGAAAGTTGAAAGTTGAAACTTGTTGGACAGGGTTCTAGAATGAGATACAAGTGGGTTGGCTATTTAAGAGCTTTAAGATGACTGACACTTAAACCAAATCAACTCCAACTTGTGCTTTTATTACTCCATAAATTTATTATCATTTGAAAGCTCTTGAGTTCCGAGATCTTTTGGTAAAAAATTTATAGAAAAATGTTTAACGGAAAAAAATTTACGATCGTTTGTAGTCTGAGAGTAGTCGTTTTAGTTTATAGGGGTCAATATCTAGTGTCTGGTGTGTCTTTTGACAGGATTTCACGTTTTAGGAAACAAGTTCTAAATGCTAAATGGATGTAACGAGAAATCAAATGTTTAAACACAAATGAAGAAACGGAACTTGTTTCCGATGCTTGACTAAAAGTAGTTATCAAAAACTTTAGAGTCATTCTTCAACAAGAGATCAACAAGAGGTTCGGGAACATCTAAAGAATCTTTTCCCCAATTTGAAGTTGGTGAAGTCAGAAGCTCAAAAAAAGCCTCAACCTTCAACTCCACTACGTCTCTCACTCGATACTCGGATGTCAATCCCACTGACCTCGATCCTAGGTACTCTTGCTTTTCATTGTACAGCTTTTCCGTTAAAAAACCAATAGACACTCCTTTGCAAGAATCGCATAATATTGCTACAACTATTCTAACTACAACTACTCATAAAAAAGCTTTACCAAACTTGAGAAAGATTCAATTGTTGATGAAAAGCATGAAACGAAGCAGTCAGTGATTAAACATCCTTCAAACAAAGTCGTTGAACACAATAATGATGTATTGGGTTGGTGATTTGAAAACTGCCTGCTATTTCGCGGGACTCGCAGATAAAAAACAACAGCATTGAACCAGCTGAAAGCGGGCTTGGTTACTTCAACATTTCCTCCAATTATTGCGAAAATATTATGCTTCCAACTTTTTATTTTTTGGTATTTTTCTTCACTTCTTCTATTGCACTCGACAATCTGCCACCGGGACATATTCGTCATGTCATGCTTCATGAGTTCCTACAAGAGCACAGTGCAAGCTTGGCAGCTGCTAATATTAAAAAGATATATGGGGAGGACTCACCTTCCGAAAGAACGTGTCGAGTATGGTTTGCCAAGTTTCGTCTGGGGACAAATCTGTGAAAGATGAAGAGGGCCGTGGAGCGGCACCCCAACTGGATGATTCCAAATTACTTGAACTCATTATCAACGACCATTCAGTATCATCGCTTGAATTGGGAGAAGAGTTAGGGGTTGATCATGCTACACTGCTAAGGCACCTTCATACCCTTGGATTTAAATCGAAACTTGGGGCTTAGGTGCCCCATGACCTCAATAACCCCCAGAAGTGCCAGCGCGCCTCGATCAGTGCCGCCCATCTCTCACAATACAAAAGGAAATCTTTTCTTTTTTGAATTGTGATAGGAGATGAGAAATGGGTTTTATCTGTGAACGTTCAGTGGAAGTGGCAATGGGTGGGGCCAGGCGAGAAACCCGAAAGTGACCCCAAGCCCGATTTGCACCAGAAGAAGTTTATGCTCTGCGTTTTCTGGGATATGGAGGGAGTGGTGTACTGGGAGTTGCTGGATAGCAAGACGACCGTTAATGCAATCAAACACAGTGAACAGTTAGGAAAAGTGAATGAATCCCTAAAGAAGAATAGGCCCTTCAAGTCAAAGATCGTTCTCCTCCACGACAACGCGCGCCCTCATATTGCAGAAAATTCTAAAATAAACAGCCTTGTTTGAAAACTTTTGGCGCACCCCGCATACGCATAATTGCCTGTATAATGGGCAGAAGTCGTCAATAATAATGGAAATTATTTGGAATGACTTTATGGTTTTATGTCAAATAAATTTTAGTTCAAAGTTCGGCAGCTTTCAATTCACCAACCCAATAAAATCTCCCAAAATGGATCCTGCAGTGATTCAAGCAATTCCAGCAATTCAAGCTAAATAAGTCAGGGGCAAAAAGGGAAAAGACTCGCGACCCTAACGACTAATGAGCAGTGAAAAGAGTGTCTATTGAGTCTTGAAATCTTTATGTCTTTTGCTTGTGTGAAATGAAAGTTCTAAACAAATTCATTCCAAAATGAGATCCAAAATGTAGAGCCATGAATTCTTTCCAGTTTCGTCATAATGCCATTTAGAATCTCAAGTTTCTAGATTTTTACTCGTTTTAAGAACTAAAGCGTGGCATCTCCACAAGCAATCGTCGAATAGCAGACTTTTGGAGGAAGCAAGAGAGGGATTCAACTTTGAAGCAATGGACGTTACGGTGGTTAAGGGGTTCATCGAACGGTTGGTAAACTTAAGCTTTAGATTTCAAGTGTTTCTTAGATTGCATCAATCTAAAAGACTTTAATCCTCGTGTTAAGACTTATTAAGCTTTAACAGCTTTAGACAGCTTTGACTGTAATAAAAGTTCTTAACGATAGTACTTTCACTACGACTTTAGATTACTGTAAGTACATTTGAAGTCAAATCATACTAGTTTTTTAAAATCAAAACCCATAATTTCAGTTAGCCAGCAACCCCTGCCAGCCTCAGCTCAACCACCCTCCGATCTACCACTTATTATCAAACCAATCGGACATCGGACCAATCGGACAGAAGCTATAACAAAGCAAAGTGGATCAGATCAAGATTCTATTGTTTATGGAAAGCATGGAACGAAGCAGTCAGTGAGTGAAGAGCCTCCAAACCAAGTCGTTAAACACATGAATGTTTTAAAATCAACTCGCAAAGTGGATCCTGTAGATTGGATGACGGTCGGAAAAGGCGAAGAACATGCGACTAATGGAAAAAACTTTTCAAAAGTTGACCAACCGTTGATTCCAAATACACAAGCTATAATAATGCAAAGTGGATCAGATCAAGATCCTATTGTTTATGGAAAGCATGGAACGAAGCAGTCAGTGAGTGAACAGTCTCCAAACAAAGTCGTTGAACAAATGAATGAATTAAAAATAACTCTCAAAATGGATCGTATACATTCAAAAAGGATTCAAGCAATGCAGCAGCATGCAGATTCCCTTCGAGCACTAAAAGCTAAAGAAGAGAAGAAAATACCCCAACGTGATAACGATGCCAAAAACTCGGAACATTAACGACTAAATGAGCATTCTAAATGAACATTGTTACTTGAAAAAAGTGTCTATTGCGTCTTGCAATCTTTATGTCTTTTTCTTGTGTGAAATAAAAGTTCTAAACAAAATCCAAGAGATCCAGAGTGTAGAGTCATGAATACTTTCGAGTTTTTTCAATAATGCCATCCAGAAACCAGTCAAGTCTCTAGATTTCGCAAGTTACAATATTTATTCCAATAGAAAAGCCTCCTTTAGACGAAATTTTGATTTTTTTTTCCTCAGATTTGTTAACTCTTGGATAGCAAATCTCTCAACTTTTCTCAACTCAACTTACTTTCCAAAGACTTTAAATAATAGTTATAAACTCAAAAACCCCGGCCAGCCACTTATACCACACCAAACCAATCCGACTTTTTCCATGGGAAACTGTTCTTGAACCGTTGCCATTGCCTGAATTTTGAGTTTTTAATTGGTACTCATGTTTATTACCAGCTTTATAACTCATTTTAGCTAGATCTTTTGGAAATGCTTCCCAGTTTTGACTGCACAATAAATTCTTGCTTTCTAAGTTCTTGATTTCTGTTTAGTATCGATAAAACAATTCCACTTTATTTTATAATTCTGCTTAAAGAAATTCCTTATCGTTTTTCTAAATTTTCTTCAATTTCATAATCATTTTACATGTCACTTTTTGGTTTAGAACAGAAATGAATCCAGAAAATTCTTAGTCAACACTCATCGGAGTGACGAGAGAACGGGTGAACGTTTTTCGAAATTGTGGACAGGTTTCAAGGTTTGCTTTCATTCAGGTTTTCATTTGCTCCGAGTTGGCTTTGATTTCTCTAGACTGGATTATTAAATCAAATTGAATTTGGTATTATCTGAAAGCCTGAAATGTTCTCTGTACAATGATATAAAAGGTCAGTAATAATATTATCTCTGGATAAAGTTATAGGCGTTCAAAGCCAGACGACCCATTCAAAATACTCGGAAACTACGGAAGAGCCTAAATTTGTACTTAGAACTTTTCACGGTACTTTTTAGTTACACTAAACTCTAAGCACACTCTTTCTAGTGCACTAAGCTCTTCAATTCACTTTGCATTGAGCTTTAAGATGCTAAGCTCAAAAATAAGACAAATTCCAGAATTCAATGTGAAAAATGGACACCAAAAGATCACAAAATGGACACAAAAAAACTTCAAATAGTTTTCACTTTGATCAAGCAAGTTATTGGATGTCAAATCAAATAAATAATAAAATTAGAATAGAATTTAATGAATTCAATTCAATGAATGAAATAAAATTGGATTTCTAGATGAAAGAGAGCGAGCTGAAACCCTTGGTGACTTTCCAAAACAATCGGATTCAATTCAACGACAGTATTGCTTTCGACTTTCGCCAAGACTTTCGCCAACGAGAAATTCAGTGATAAAAAGGTTAGAATTGACTTTTTCAGTGTTTTAAGAAGGTAAAAGATATCAGGATTAGCATTAGAGCAAAGATTGATAGCCTCTCTCAGAAACGAGACTCTTATCCACTACACCATAAGATTCCGAGACGGTGAAAGAAGGCTTATACCGGGAAAGAATCCATTTTTTAGTTCTAAGGCAGGTTCTGGTCTAGCATCTAGCTTTGACTAGCCTGGCCTAACTGTAGACGCAAGGCTCCTTCGGCTTTGACTTCACAAAGTATAGAACCCAGGCTTGGACCAGCCAATAGTAATATTAGCTTCTTCTGGAAGACACAATTGGACCATTCCTAGTTGTAACTCCAAAATCATTGCTTCAGGGCACTCTCGTCAGCGTGATGGGACCATCGCGATCCGGTAAAAGCTTTCTGATGTCAATTTTGACTGGTGGGCGACAAGGAAACACAGTCAGGTCAGCCTTTAGAGTGCAATTCACAGAATTGAGCTTGATTTCCTAAAAATGTATCGATTTTGCTCAACTACTGTAACCTTGTCTTTCGTTTATTCAATCCATCTACTATTGATATCCTTTGTGAACCATTGCAGAATCAGAATAAAAGTAGAGAGATTAGGTAAGCTAGAGATAAGATCACGGTAATTTTCTAGCTGGATACCTCTACAAGTTAAGAGGTTCTTGTGACTGCTGCGCCACTTTGCTTAGCATAATTAGCATTTAAATTAGCCGACTTTGTTCAGTATGATTAGCATTTAAACTTCTCCACTTTGCCCAGTGTAATTTCTGTTCAAAAGAGGCTGTTCCATTTAATTTTATGATCTTATCGCAAAGAATAAGTAGCAAATGAATCTAACTCGTAAGGATGTACTGCAAGCTGTAGTACTGTAGGACTGTAGTACTGTAATCTGTAGTACTGTAGTACTGTACTGGTACTCTAACATCATAGCTTGTAGCCTATAGTACTACGGTAGTTCTATAGCACCGTAATCTGTTGTATGGTGTTGCCGTAATGCTCTTAGAGACTTAAAGTACTGTAGTATTATAATACTTTTTCCGGATTACTGTAGGATTCCCAGTGGTGCGCTAGATGAGATGCGTTTACGAAATAAACTTCTCGACATTAACTCCTCTGATCATTTGGTAATTGCGAATGCGAATTTTAGCTAGAGATTTGTATACAATATTACAATTTGTAAAAGAAGCAGCAATTTTTTACAAGTAACTCTTGGAGTCAACTTTTAAATAGTAGAAAAAAAATGTTCTTAAATTGGTGGTTTCGTTTCTAAAAGAAATTCGAGTGAAACCCTTTTCCGGGAACTTTCTTTCCAATCGAATAGATCCATTGTTGGATAGATCAAAAAAAAATGCGTACTTTAAAGCCCTTTATAGTAAAATACTAAAATTTTCCCTATTTATTGCAATTTTTGAATGAATTGAGCATACAATTTTATTGTATTTATTATATTTCTTTAAAAGAAAAACATAATAAAGCAGCAAGAACCGGGGAAAAATGACTAAAAAAATTCTATAATATCGATTGTAAAGAAATATTCTTTGCGTGCTTGGTACTCTTCACTCAAGACACGTTATTTCTTGTTTCGAGATATCTGATCTCACTTGAACTAAAAACACTTTATTCAATAGCCGACTAACTCGGAATCTTTGGGCTCTCACTTGAGCAACTTTCACACAAGATCGACAATTGAATTAAAAGTGAAGATAAAAACAGAAACAATTTCGTCCTAATTTCGTCCACACAACTTTCACACGATGAGAGGAAAGCAGTAAAAAAAATGAAAGATAACAAAAACAAAATGAACAACAGTTGCCTTATATAGGCTTTAACACAAGATACTCAGCTAACAAGCTACAAAAAAATAAATGATTTGGGGCGCGAAATAGAATGAAGGCGCACCGATTTCCTCAATACTTTTCCAATTTTTAGGCTGTCAGAGTTAGATAACTTTTAGTGGCTATTCGCCATGAATTGAGCATACAATTTTATTGTATTTATTATATTTCTTTAAAAGAAAAACATAATAAAGCAGCAAGAACCGGGGAAAAAATGACTAAAAAATTCTATAATATCGATATTTACATATGAAAAAGTCATGGATTTAACAAAAAAATTTTGCATTGCGATATGCAAATTATAAATAACAAATTGTAAATTGTAAAGAAAAAGGAAAAAAAACGAGGATTGTGAATGTGGAAAAATGTGGAAAAATGAGCATCTTTGTACTGATTTTTTTACTCGGAAAAGAGATTTTTAAAGGCTTTTTTTCGATGAAAATTCTTGCAATTGAAGATGAATTTTTGTTTAAACTCGAGTAAATAACTCAAATAAAAGAGAAGGGGAAAAGATTGAGCCCTTTTTTTGAGAGAATTTTAAGCTCTAGAACTTCTAGAACTTCTAGAACTTCTAGCCGTTTACAAGTGTCTTTTATTCAATTGATTTTCAAGGTTTTCTTCATCTCTTTTTACTTATTTCTCATGGGAATTGGATTGAAAGAGTTGCTTTGGATTACTTTGGAGGAATTCCAAAAATGAAATCTTTAGCTATTTTTACTTTAGAAATGCTTCTTCAAAAATTCGTTTTTGTTTTGAAAATGAAAACTTTTCAAGAATCTTTGAGACGTCAGATAATGAGCAATTTCTCTAGACTAAAAGAAGTCAAATTCAATTTCTAGATTTCCCCTTTTATAAATCGGAGTCTCCGACGATACTCCTTGGCTCTTGTGTGATCGTTGATCAACTGTTGAACGTAGTTCGATGGAAACCATCCACCAACCCCATCGCGTACTCGTTCACCGTAGAACCAACCTAAAGATTTTGTTTCCCAGATTTTGTTTCCCAGATGTATTCCTAGTTTAGTTCAGTTCGAGTTTAAAACTGAAACTTATTGCTAGTTAGCTGCAGATTAAGAAAGTTTGGTGCGCCAGAAGCCACGCGTTTGCCGAGTGATCTCATCCTTTAGATCTCAAAGATCAAAGAGTAAGGATTACTCAAAAGTCGAAGATTAAGGTCGTTTTCTAAAAGTTGCTCTAGGAAAGTTACCGTAATCTCTAAGTCTACAGATATTCAGTCTTACAGTCCCAAGATACAGTCCCAGTCTACAGTCCCAGGCTACTGTCCCAGGCTACAGGCCCAGTCAACAGTCCCAGGACTTGCTGATCTACAGTATCTTCAGCCACAGCTCCCATAAGCTCTAGATATTCCACCAACCATCGGACATCTTCCTCAGAATGTTCACATGTTCTCCAACGGAAAGATCCAGCTCATCATCTTGTGCTTTACTGTACGCGTGCATTGTCATCGCTTGAGGACAATCCCATTCCGCGTACACTTTCTCTTCAGGATTCGCACTCTGAAATGCTTGAGTTATTATCAAGAATCTAAAAACTGTTTTAGTATTACTCGTTTGTTTCTTTGAAACCAAACTCACCACTGGTGGCCGCATCGCGCTTAGCCAGTGCTCTCGATCACTTTCACTGTCTGCGGAAAGGAGCCACTCTAGAAAAGATATAGCTTTAATAGCTAAAATAGCTTTAAAATTTTTACAATAATCAATCAATTATCGATTTTCTATTTACCCGATTGTTTTCCACGAGCATTTTGCATTAGAACACAAGAAAAGAGATGCGGTCGTGTGGGAAGTTGATGCAATAAACCGCAAGGAATCTAGAAATTTGGATTTAGATTCAGCTTTTTTGAAGTACAATAACTTGAGACACATTTTAGAGTACGGTATGGTAGAGGTAAGATGTAATTTAAAGGGTTTTTAGAAAACCAATCTCAACCTTTGGATTCTCTGGTTCTAGCGGTGATGTATCGACGAAACACCGCTTTGCATAATCCTGACAAACATAAGTGCCATTCCTAGAAATATCTGGATAGTTACAGTACTTAGCTTTGTCTTTTGAGTCTACTGTAGGATACTGTACAATAGTCTACTGTACAATAGTCTAGAATTTCCATTCACTTACATCTTTTGCTTGGCGATTAGCAAGAGATCGCTGAAGAGAAAGAGATAGATGTGAGGAGCTTTTTGAAGGCTCTGGAATTGATTTTCTTTTCAACTTGAGGAAGATTACTGTAACTAATGTCTGATATAGGTATTTAATTTATAATTTACATGCAATAGACTGCTTGTGCCCTTTTCCGACAATTCGTAAAGACAACCCTGTTTGACGAGATGGCGATTCGCGGTCACAAGGGGGATACGTCTAAATAAAAGCTTATATAGATAATTACAGTACTTAGGATAGCTACAGTACTTATCATAAGCACGAGCTCAGAATATCGGGCTTAATAGGCTGATTGAAAAGCTCCACAACTTTTTATTAAAACTTGATTTTAAAACGACCGAGGAAAGCTGAGGAAGAACCTCGACTAAGGAAAACCTTAATAAAATCATCCTTAAAGTCACTAAGTAGCTAAATCATCACTTATAGTTAGCCTAGGATCATCCTTGCCTAGTACTGCACCAATCTCCAAACCAACTTGAGATCATTGTCCTCGTAGAACAATCGGCGATCGACATCAAGAAGTTGCTCGGTTCTCTCCATCCTTCTCACTCCCTCATTACAATTTGACACCACCTATAAAATCACAAATTCAAACAATATTTCTAATATAAGCTTAAAAGTATAAATATCTCAATAAACTGCCTGACAGATCTAGCTCTAGTTGAATGCAAATCTCGTCATCCTAACCGGTCTAGCACGCCTCAAAACATATTGTTGGATCAGTCAGGTTGATTGTTGATTATTAGATTGTAGAATCTAATAATCAACAATCAACCAGGCTTAGATTGCTATTAGATTGCTGATTACCAGCCAGATTTATGTGGAAATGCACTTGGCACTCACTAAAGATCACTAGATTCAGAATCATCTCGAACTAATGGATCTCAAGATTACAACATTATAGAGATTACAAGAATTTAGAGGTGGACATTGGCTCTTTGATGGAACTGAAAAACATGGTCATGGGATTCGACAACATGGGATTCGAACCCGTGACCTCTCGCTTAACGGGCGAACGCTTTACCAATGAGCTTTGACAAGCATCCCCCGTCAAGATAGAGTCTTATACTTTACTTAACGCTATCTCAAGAAAGAACTGTTCTTTAGGTCTGACAGATCTGTCTGGTTTTGCACAGATCTGGTTCTCCCAGCTGATCTAGAGCAATACAGTCGACTCTCGATATAACGACTCATTTTTACGGTCTCGATCTTACTTCTATATAACGATGTTCGATATAACGACTCCATTTCGCGGTCCCGACAGCGTCGTTATATCGAGAGTTGACTGTATTTCAGAAACCAGACAATGCCAGATTATAAACTAATCGATTATTAAGTATCGATTACTAGACTTGAGTCTTATTGGGCTTATTTGAAGATTTAGAATCATTGAATGATGATAATCTGGTACTTGTGCGTGATTGACAAGTCTTCTAGAAGCTGACTATGATTTTTTTAGCTTATTACTTACAAATTCTAGATTATCAAAGATTCTAAATCCTAGATTCTAGATCCTAGATTCTAGATCCTAGATTCTAGATCCTAGATTCTAGATCCTAGGTTCTAGATCCTAGATCCTAGATTCTAGACCCTAGATGCTAGATCCTAGATCCTAGATTCTAGATTCCATACCTGATTAGCTAACGCCAGTGTCCTTGCCGCAACTCGATGACTCTCCGATCCAATTGGTTGTCGTTCCAAAATTGCGGAAATCAAAAGTGGATATCTAAAAGACATAAAATATTTAGATATTTAGTTTTTATATCTAAATATCTCTTAAGAAATAAAACCTTTAAATCTAAAGAAGCTAACCTTGTGATTCTTTGCATTGGTAGCATCAAAAACGATCGCATATCAAGGCCATGGCACTGAAATTTTACAATATTAACTTATCAGCATTGTTAAATTAAAGTTTCTATCTAAAATTTATCCATTTCTTTAGTTTAATTTTAAAATTTTTACTTGTTTATCCGCTTCTAAGCGACTCACAGCCGCTAGAAAAGCTGAGCTCTCTGTTTTGAGGCGTCGAATTGTTCGATCTTGATAAACCTATAAAAAATGGGTTTATTTTTTAGTGTACAGTCATTTTATTCACCTGATTACTGCAATATTTTATATAAGCATCGAAATTTGTGTCGAAATGTTGCATAAGAATGTCACAGATACAATCCAAAACAAGCGACTCATCGAGACGAGTTTCGAGATCGACAAGAAGACTGAATTTGCATTTATCTTTATGATCTTTATCTTCTTTATCATCTTTATCATCAGCTATACAAGCTATTGAAATAATAATTGAATATTTTATTTATATTATTCAATCACCGTTCACTTGAGTCTCTCACGGCAAAAATGTTACTGAAGAGATGCTTCCGATCATCGTTTGATATCACAGAGTCACTGCTTTTTGAACCTAAACAAATCTTAAATTTTAAATCTAAAAGCTTAAAACTTAAATCTAAAATCTTAAAATTTCAATCTAAGAACTTAAATTTACAAAATTATACGATACTTGAACATCTTTTCCCACCCACTTTACATATCGTACTGCAAATTTGCAATTAACTAGTGACCGGGAAAAGATGTACAAGTATTGCCGGGCTACTAGTCCACTTTTCCCCACCCACTTTGCATAAGAGCAATTAGCATATACGCTCAAAGAGCAGCATAAAAAGCAAGCATTATATTTTGATTTTATTTTATATTTGATGCCATGTGACTGGTAAACAAATGGCTTTTATGTAAATTGAGCTCTTATATAAAGTAAGATTATGCAAAATTGATTGAATTGATTGAATTGATTGAATTGAATGAATTGAATGAATGTATTGGATTGATTGGCTTGATTGGCTTGATGGATTGATGGATTGATGGATTGATTGGATTGCTTAAATTGATTGGATTGATTGGCTTGATTGGATTACTTGATTTGAAAACTTTTCGAGTTCGAGACCCGGCGGCGCACAAGTTTTTATCTTCCCTAGTTCCCACTGGGACTTAACGCCCTCGGGAGTGAGGCAGATCAAGTGCGTGGTGGTGTGGTGGCTAGCACGTTTGCCCGCTGAACGAAAGGTGGCGGGTTCGAGTCCCGGCGGGCACAAGTTTTGATCTGTCCAAGTTCCATCTCATCTTGAAAGCTTGGTGAATTGAGTTGAAGAACTGACAATGCTAGTTTAACCTCAAGAAAATCTCCACTAGATATCGTTGTCAAAACTTTTATCCAAGTTTACTAAACATTAATTATATGTCCATTGATTTTTAGTTTTAAAACTAGAATTGGCTAAGCGTATGTTAGTGATATGGACAATAAAATAAAGTAAAAAAATGGCAAAGAAGAAGGAAAAGGGGATTGAACCGTCGATCTTTTGCTTTACAATTGCTTTAACCACTGAGCTATTCGATGACTTAATTCGTGAAGAGAAAGAAGGAAAGACAAGGAGGAAGAAGAAAGGAGGAACTCACCAAGCATCGCTTTGTCAGCCATAAAATGCGTGATCAAAATGTTCAATGATCGGAGATAACTTGCTTCACTGGTTATCACCTATAAAAAACTCTTTGAATGATCTTTGTGTGCTCAAAAATCGTAAACGAATCCCTTCTAATGCACTGAATTCTTTAATTACTTTAAGAAACATTGAACTTACCTCAAAATAAGCCTCTTGTAGCTGTTTAGTCTCCTTGTCGAGTGTTTCCAAAAGGCCAGCATTTTTCACCTAAAATTTTGATATTCATTTTAGATTTGAACTGTTTAAATGATTAAATACTAAGCATTAAATAGTTATTTATTGTTTTTTCTAAAGCTTTTAAAGCTTTTAAAGCTCACCTCAGGCAATTCACACCATAAACTCCGCTGATTCCCATAGCCAACGTTTTCAAGTCTATCTCTTCTAAAAAGAGAGATTTATCTTTATAGCTTTATAGCTTTATAGCTTTAAAGCTTTATAGCTTTATAGCTTTAAAGCTTTATAGCTTTATAGCTTTAAAGCTTTATAGCTTTATAGCCTAAATAGTTATCGGGGCTTTATTTCACCTAAACGAAGTACTAGAGGTCAATGCTGATGATGAATGTGTGGTTGAATGAGAGCAATCAGCGCGTAAACCCGAATCCCAGGATGAAGATGAGGATTCGCGGCGGAGAGTCTAGAAAAAACATTTTGATCATTTGAATCAATGATTGAGACAAACAAAAATAGCAAAATATTCTACTCAGATACAAAATCAAATCCAAAACTGATTTCCTTTGACCAGACCTAGATTTAGCTCAAAAACTAGCCAGATCAGGATTGTGGGACATTTTATGTCCTCTTGCAATTCGCAATACAACTTTAAGCTTAAATCTCTTGGCTTTAAGCTGTCCAATTTGAATAGTTTTTATACAAATCGACAGAGAAAGACTTGGCGCATCGAATGATATTAAGAATATTGAAATTGGACAGTCCAGCACCAAGAGATTTGAGCTTAAAGTTGGATTGATAATGGGAAAAGAAGCGGGGTTAAATGTCCGATAATCTGTTTAAAATACCGTTTATTTTACCGTCAGTTTGGGGTACTGTAGCATTGAAAAAAGTACTTAATAACGATTGTTCATTTTATTATTATAAACCCACTAATTATTGATAAAAGGAACGCCTCGCCCCTTTGCCATTTGCCTAACAACTTTAAGCTTAAATCTCTTGGCTTTAGGCTGTCCAATTTGAATAGTTTTTATATCAATCGACAGAGAAAGACTTGGTGCATTGAATGATATCAAGAATATTGAAATTGGACAGTCCAACACCGAGATAATGAAGCTTAAAGTTGGGTTGCCGGGCGGGGCGCGGAACAAATGGCCGATAACGCTAGAAGGCCTTGGTCAGCCTTGGTCAGTCAACCTAAGCCTAAGCTTAAGTCAGGCCTTGGCATGGCTCGTTTGTAAACTTGATCCACAAAGAATTCAAGATCCTGACAGAAGCTGGATCTGGCCCTGACAGAACCAAATTTTACTTAGCCTGCTTATTGGCTAGACTAGAACTGAGCTTGGACTGGTTTACAGGCTCAAGTTGTCCAGCTTTCCGTCCAGTCAAGTCCAGCTTACCCTCTCCTCCGCACGACGGTGATTCTCAATTTTTGCTCGGCGAGCTTCTTTGGCTTCCTCTCGGCGCTCCCTTTCCTCTCGCTCCTGAAAGACTTGGTTTAGGAAATAGAATATCGAAAGTAAAGACATATTTACAATATCTGATTATCTGTTTTCTTATCCATTTCTACCTGTCTAAGCATTTCCATCTCGACTTGACACTGATGAGCGCGCTCGTCAGCAAGGTGTTGATCCCGTCTCTCCCGCTCTTCACGATCAGCTCTCATTTGTTCCAATTGTCGAAAAAATGGAAGTCTTCCATTTCTATAATCTTTTGGCATTCATAAATACAAAAATAATCACTTCATAAGGAGCATTTCTTAAATAGAAAGACAAAGAGAGATGGATGAATTCTTTTCAAGTTCTCGATTGTATCAATAGAGTTGGTTGCAGAAAATCAATGATCTTTCCCTGCATTTTATTGAAGTCAATTCTAATCTGAAAGCTTTAAAAATTCAGCTTTTATTCTTACCGCATTGAGTTTTCATTCATCTCTTTCATCATCATGACCATTGGATGCATTGCCCGGTGCCTCTCGGCCTGTTTCTCTTGATCTAAAATGGATCTTTTCCAAAAAAGAATTGCCCATTTACCCAATTTCTTTTGCATTTCATTGAGCTCATCTTGTGTTTTTCTTTTCTCATCATTGAATTTCCGTTGTGTTTGTTGTTGTTTCGCAAGGATTCCCTCCATTTTTGCCTTCAATTTCTTCATATTGAGATGCGTGCGTACTGGAGCCTCAAATTCGTCTTCGTGCTTCTAAAATCGAAAAAGTACAGTATGTTTTCTAAAAGTCATTTATTTAGACAAACTACCGTAATCTTATCCTCAGTTTCCATTCAATTTTTGTATGATTGACTGAGCTTTGTGATTTCTCATTGAGATCGGCCGAAGCACGTAATCGCTCGGCTTCTGTTTTACTTTTTTGTCTGGCATAAATTAGTGTTTACATGAATATGGCTCTGCGGTTTACAAGATTTATGACTTTAACAAGAATTTCTTTACAAAAGCCAAAAGTCTTCGCCTAGTCCGGGCTCGAACCAAGCCCAGAAAACTCAGAGTCTAGCGGACTAACCACTTGGCTACGATGACAGATCTTTCAGGGACGCAAAATCGCTTGATACTCGAGTCAAATAATTCGCAACACTCAAAAGCCGGCTTTTTTTGACACAAACAAATTTTAAACGGATTTAAATCGAAAATTTGAATCCATTACACAAAAACGACTTAGATATTCGGAATCAGAATTTGCCACAAAATAGACTTCAAAACTCGGTGGTAAATAAACAACGTTCCCTAGTTAGGCTTTGATATCAAAGAAAAAAACCCACAGCGAAAGCCGACCCAGTCGCTTTGTGATGGTTGTCTCTGATGTGCTCGACGAGGTTCTGAAGAATGAAGATTGCTTACTCTAATATTACTTTACTATTTCATGAGGCCAATCAAATTATTCTACGATCAACTCACTCTACCTAAGACTAGTTTCTCTACTAAACAATCACTCAATGCAAACCTCACTCATCCAAGAAACAAGAAGCAAAATAGCACTACGAGAAATGTTGCACAAAGTCCACACGATTTGAATAAGTTCTACATACCTCAGGTTGAGTCAATTGTTCAGATTCTGTCTCAATATCAGCTGGGCTTTCCGAGTGATCCGGTGAAGATGCACTGTGAGATGGATGAGTTTCGATCAATTCAACACTTGATCCAATCACTTGGCTTGGGTCCGGGATTTCAGTTGGCTGAGTCGAGACTGGTGCTTTCTAAAGTACAAAGTAAAGTCTATTTTACATCTTAATCTTCTTAGATCTGAAATCTGACTTTTTGAAGTGATTTAAAAACTAATAGCCTTGTACAAAGTGGACAAACAGATAAGAAACTTGCTAAAAATGAAAGAATACAGTTAGATTCATAAAATAACCATATAATACTTTATTTAGTAAATGCAATAACATTGTGTATTGTGTTTGTTAGAAAGATACAATAGTATTGTGTTTGTTATAAAGATAAGACCTGGTTCTCTAAAAGCCCGCAAATCCTCTCCATGGCTCGACCTGGATCGGAGAGTCGACCGATCTCAGAAAAGAGAGACTAAAGATTGAAAATGAGCTCAGTTTTTGCCAGTTTACTGTATTTTTAATGGCAATTATCTAATCAATTTTTTGCTTTATTTCTCAAACTGATTAATGTAATGATCAGATGATTCGACCAACACATTTCCTGTTTCGACGACGCTATTCTTTTTTCTTGCGGCAAGAGAATTGGTAATGAGCTGTTTTGGCTAGGGAAAAAGGAATAAAGAACTAAAACTGATACCGTAATAAAATAGAAGTAAACTTTAGAATTCAATGAAATTATAGCATATGAAGGTTTCAATGAACTTAGCTGAGAATTGTAAGTTTACTGCTAATTGGTTCTGGTTGAATAAATTCAAATGAAAGATTAGAATTGTGAATGAATCTACTAGCTTTTAACAATCACGGAGTTCCAATCGGATCTCTACACAAACATGCAAAAAAAGGGAAACGACGACTACGCGACACTCCAATAGACAGTTCATAGTACTGTCGCGTGGTCATTTTTTTGCTCTTCGTATGCTTGCGTAGAGATCCGGATCCGGACATCCGATCGGATCCTTCTAACCTTTATCTTTTCTTGGAACATTTGGTAGAGCTCGTCAACTTCTCGATCTTGAAGCTCAGCATCCTAAAAGAAAACTTTCTGACCGAGAAAAAGCTACAATATTTACCGTAAAATTGAACTCGCAGTCATTTTTGGAGCTGGTGAAACGATTTTCAGACATTCTCTTCAATTCTAGATTCGTTTACAAGTTTTTCAAAGCACAAAATATACAAAAACAACTATTATCCTGTTTAAAAATGAAATAAAATCAAATTTAAAACTATTTTTCTTTAAATAAAAGAATTTTTTCACTCAAACGATACCAAAAATTGATCGCTTTTGAGAAAGAAAAGAAGGAATTTTGGATTTTTATGGTGCAACAAAAGTCCAAGACAAACGATTAACAAAACTTTAAAGTTATACAAATTTTACAAATCTTTTTACTAAATTCTGTTTCAATTAGGAATTTTCGAAAAGAATAAAGCTATTTCAAACTTTAAATGCTATTGCAAAGTCTTTATCGAAAATGATTTATATCGAAAGTTTTGCGTTGCGAGCAAATGAGTGAGTTTGGAAAGAAAGACGATTGTGAAAGTTTGCGAAAGTTCCAATTTTCATTTGAACATTGAGTAAGAAAATTGTTGGGCAAGGAAGTTGAATTTTTCTTCTCTTTTCGTAAAAACTCTCTTGCCAAATCAAAAAAAAAAGATGTTGATTTATGAAATTTTTGACAAGAAAACATAGCTATTTTAAATTTTTATAGACTTTTTATTTTTATGAATGCATAATCGATTGGATTGCGTTTTTCTTTGAGCTTTTGTGCAAATCCGGATGTTTTTTGTGTTTTCTATTTTGTTTCCTTTGTATTTTCTTTTCTATCGGCTAATTCGCTTTCTAAAAAGCATCTATTTTAGATAAAATATTGTAATTATAAAGTCAGTTTCCATTCAATTAGCCAAGATTTTTGTATCATTGAGGGAAAAGGGAATGGTCTGAGCTCAAAGTTCAGAATCGACTGCAAACACAGTTCATAACATAGAAACGTAAATGGCGAACAAAATGCCACAAAAATTAGCCGCTAATAGCCACGGAAACGCAAGGAATCTCGCAAAATCGAGATTCAAAACTGGTTTCTTTATAAGGCTTCACTTGCTGCCAGCCAAAGATGAGCTCGTGGCCTAGTGGATAAAGGCTTCGCTCTGTGAAATGGTGATTCCATTTTTGCCCTCGGGTTCAATTCCACCCAAAATTTTTTGTTTTTTTTGCGATTCTTGGAACGATTTGGTTTTTAAAGCAAACTAAATTTTAATATGATAACATTTTTGCCTATGGGACGCTCTGCGGTACAAGTTTTCAACCGGGAAACCGAAAAAATATAGAAAATATATTATAGTTACTTTCAATCACAATTTAAAGCAGATCAATTTCAGAAATGTTCTCAGTTTTCTAGGCATTCCAGTACTTACGTCGATGCACACCCAGGGAAAAAAGAAGAAAAAACAAAAAAACAAAAAAATTTTTTACGAAAAGAGAAGAAAAATTCAACTTCCTTGCCCAACAATTTTCTTACTCAATGTTCAAATGAAAATTGGAACTTTCGCAAACTTTCACAATCGTCTTTCTTTCCAAACTCACTCATTTGCTCGCAACGCAAAACTTTCGATATAAATCATTTTCGATAACGACTTTGCAATAGCATTTAAAGTTTGAAATAACTTTATTCTTTTAGATTTCTAACTGAATTCCTAACTGAATTCCTAATTGAAACAGAATTTAGTAAAAAGATTTGTAAAATTTGAATAACTTTAAAGTTTTGTTACTATTTGTTAAGCAGCTTATTGTTTTTGTTTTATACTTTAATTTGTATGTAATGTATACGGATAAATCTTATATTCTTGAAAAGTCGAGTCTTATGGGTCGGTAAAAATACCCTACTCTTTTTCTGAAATGTCGATTTTGCCGATTTTACAAGATTTCCTTACAAAACATACTGTTGGATGGCAATGGGGCATTACTTTTGTGGACCACTGTATTAAACTCGACGTGTAAAAAGGATTACTCGTAGTTACTCGATCAAAAACTTCAATTTTGCCAAACTTTTTCCCAACTTCTAATCAACTTTTTTTTCAGTTTTCTGCTTAAGTTTTCTGCTTAAATTCACATTGTTTTCAATTAGAAAACACGTTGAAAACGTAGACACATTTTAGTGAAATACACTCTATTCTTAAGCGGTGAACCCTATGTAAAATCATGCGTTTTGTTTCATTTTATCAGGGTAAAAGCATCAGCATGATGAAACGAAAAACGAGACGATGAAACGAATGCGACTGGCACACCAGGACAAGATTCACCGACTGATCGATCGATCACCAGTCAAACAGAGCTCATGGTCTATTCTTTGAATGTTTCTCTAACGATTCCCCGAATGTTTCCCCGAAAATCGATCACCAAATCAAATGATCTAATTCAAATCTGACTATAATTCTTCCTTAGAGCCGTTTTCGTTCTTTCTCAACAACACCCACAACTCAAACAATCTCATTCAAACAAAAGAATCAACTCTTTTAAGCTTTTGTTTTCTCTCCAGTGCATACCTACTTTTCACTTTCACAGTAACATTCTTAAAGGGTAACCCCCAAGTCTAACCCCAAAAATCTAACCCAAAACCCAATCTACTTTGTACTCTTGTCCGCTTTGTGTTTTGTTTTTAAAAGTTTTCATTGCTTGTTTCTTTATTCTTATAAAATCATTGATATGCAAATGTTTTATTTAAAATCACAAAGAAAAAGTTGCATAGCAAAATTATTTCATGATCCAACTACAGGGTGGCTAATAAGTATTGTCGCGTGCTTGAACGCGTGTTACTCCTCGAGGCTTCAAATCTCATGAGTAACGTACCAAAATGTTGCTAAGGGTTTACGGAATCTAAATCTATGCTTGGATTTTCGAGACAATCACTGAAAGATTTAATTGCGATTCTTTTGCTTTTCAAAAAAAGTACTTTGCCCGCTGCTCGTTTTTTAAAAGTTTAGTGTAAAATATTTTTTTGAAGGATGTTTAGAAGATCAAACTCACAAAAGTAAATGTGATTGTGATATCGGTAAGAACTTTTTCAAAGTCAAAAACGGATTTTTAATATCATATTTGGTTGGCTTTTAGACACCTGCTTTTTGCTATTTTTAAGAGAGGAAAATTGGGAGCTATTTTTTTTTTTAAATCGTTACTTTGAGCAAAATTCAAAACTATTTCATTAAGAAAACATTTAAGGCAACATTTTGGCGGAAAATTTAGAAAATTAGCTGAATAAATGAGTAGCTATGAATGAGCTGTATGAGTAGCTTAGAATTCCCTTCAGCAAAGTACCATTTTTGAAAAGCAAAAGAATTGCAATTTCAGTGATTGTCTCGAAAATCCACGCATAGATTTAGATTCCTTAGACATTTTGGTACGTTACTATGAGATTTCAAACTAACCTCGAGGAGTAACACGCGTTCAAGCACGCGACAATACTTATTAGCCACCATGTATAATCAAAAGGATGGGACACTTTTTAACAAAAAAAAAATCATAAATGCAAAACTTCCCGAGCGACAAGATTTTGACAAAAATTGGAAGAAATTTTCACATAATTGAGCAACGACTCTCCTCGGGTTGTGGCGGAGGTAGGTTGAGCCATTTCGGTGGGACCTAGTCAAAATAGCGCGGCCAAAACAGCGACGTTCAAAACAGCGCCATTCAAAACAGCGTCGTTCAAAACAGCGCCCATACAAAAATAGCGCCGTTCAAAACAGCGCCCATACAAAAATCGCGCCGTTCAAAACAGCGCCGAATTTAAAGATTTTAATGTAGATTAACCAATGCTCTTTTGGAGTTTTCCATAAAGGCTTTATTTTCTCGTACATTCTCAAGTAAAATAGTACATAAAAATTTGTTTATTCAAGTAACAAAATGAAAAAATTAAACAACGCAGTTAACACATATGAATATAACAACATAAAGATTTTAAATGATCGACTGGACTCTTACCCAAAGATCCATTTTGAACCGCAACTTTTCTTACACGGTGGCCGTGAAGAACTTTCGACGATTGAGGTGAAGATTGAGGTAGAGTCATGTGCCGAGATGTAGCCGCAAGAAGACGTTTTTCGAAGTCTTGTTGAACATCTAGTAGCTTTTGAGCAACATAGCGAGCAGAACATCGCGAAGTAAGAGCCTAAATCTTTAAACATTAACTAAACATTAAAAACACAAACTTTCAGTAAAGAATTGTAAGATTCTTGAGACGAGTTGCCAAGTTGTTCGCCACGACAGATTGTATCATACGAGTTCCACGTTTCAATGGAGTGTGTTGGTCGAATGAAGCGACTATTTTGAACAAATCCAACAAAAGATTTTTCGAAGTACGAATATAAGCCTAATTTTAAAAATTAAATCTATAACAAAGATAAATAACAAACCTTGTAACTCATTAATAAGGGAGGGAATTTGTTTGAAGGCTTCATCTCGTAGTACACGAAAATATCGCAAGACATCAACAGGTCTTATGAATGCCAGTGCAAGCAATCCTTTCACGTAGACAAACATATTTGAATCACAATAGATGTCTTGTAGTTTCTTCTCCTAAAAGAATAAATAAATATTAAAAAACCAAAGTTTAATAACCTTAATTTTGCGAAAGATGGCCTTGAAGAAATGAAAACAACAGAAATGTATGGTTGATGTGTTGCCATAGACTGCCATAAAACCGTTGACAATAGCCAGCTCCATATCTAAAATTGTTTTATAAATTTTTCGATGCAAAATAAACAAAAAATAACCTGTTTTAATTTTTGTTGGTGGTGGTAATCCCAATTGTTTGACCAGACCAAAGACGTCGCTATACGTTTGTGTCAACTTGCTTGACAGGAATGCATATGCACACGGAACGAAAAGATGATCTATCTAAAAACAAAACTATAAAACTAACATAACAAAAAAAACCTCAACCCCGATCACCAGAATTTGAGAAAACCCAAAGGGAGCCGCATAAAACGTGCCATCAATACTCCAAATAGGGTGCTAAAAGTATTTAACTTTTGTTATTAAAGTTGAAAGTCTAAAGAGTTTAATATACCTGAAGTAACATATCGATTCCCCAATCAGTAGCAAAGAATTTAATTGCGTTGGCGTGTGGAGCTGGGTAGTTTGAGCAGTTATCATATCGTAAGAATAAAACCCCTAAATGTAAATATTTATGAGGCTAACATAACAACAACTCACGAAAAGTTCCAGTGACCGGAGCAGGCCAATCTCTATCACCATCGATTTTGACTTGCCGACGAGCCATTTGTTGAATTCCCTTGGTATTGAGATAAGGCAATAAGTGTGGGCGAGCTCCGAGAACACGTCGTTTAATAATTTCCTTCGTCGGAACTCCAGCAATCCGATCGTTTTTGGCGCCACAGTGTATTCCACGTATCTAAAAATATAAACAAGAAACGATAAGTTAAACAAAACAATACCTACCTCTTCTTTTTCTTTCAATGGCAGGCAGGTCATAGCGTGCTCGTTGGTGACAGAAAGGACTCCAGTTGCTTCATCTTTATGCATCCTTCCCCGGCAGTTTGTTTTCGTACAACTAAAAGAAAACTTTAAAATGTTCAACGAATATACAACCAAACTAGTAAAAAGAAATTACCGATAAGCTGTAGCTACCCCTTTTCGGATTGTTTTGTCCTTCCGATACTCGTGTCCATCTTCATCGTAAAGTAGCACTCCACCTTTCTGAGATAGCGACATCCCTAAATTAAAAAAGATGTTGAGATACCAAAATTTTGCAGAAAAGTGTAAAAACTGGCTTAATCAATCTTATTACATTTATTTAAGATCAAAGAAACAAAGTTATTACCTTATACAAGTAGAACTTCTTCGCAAACTATATTGTGTGAAAAATACCTGTGTTTGTCGCTAGCCACGCCGAATCACTTGCAAGGAGTCTTCTATTTCTTCAGGCGACGTTCTTTTACCTAAAAAAACAAAAAATTAAGTCCCAAGAACAGAAAAAATAAGAAAAAAACGATGAAAAACAAAATGTGTCGCATTGTTTATTTAAAATGGGCCATAAAACCTGATTCTGATGATGAAATAATCTGTCGGTTTGGCAAAACACGCGCAAGGTGCTTAGAAATGTTTAAAAAATAACAAAAGTTACAAGTTCTGATGAGAAGTATAAAAACATTGGGCTTGAAAAATCTAATCGCAGTCTCTTTCAATTTGGCGCTATTTTTGTATGGGCGCTATTTTGAACGGCGCGATTTTTGTATGGGCGCTGTTTTGAACGGCGCTATTTTTGTACGGGCGCTGTTTTGAATGGCGCTGTTTTGAACGTCGCTGTTTTGGTGGCGCTATTTTGACTAGGTCCCATTTCGGTCGGTTGAGCCAGTCGGCCATTTCGGCCTCGTGTGCCTGTCGCTGGCGTTCCATCACCTCTTCTTGCATCTGGAAATGAGAGTTAAAGTGAAGATTCTATTTTGTGAGGAAAACTACCACAGGAAGGCTAAGCAGAGAATGGGATGAGTTTAAAAGCTATTTCGTGGAAAAACCTTACCCTAGCCAATTAGGTCAAACGCGGCCGGATCAGGCCCGACCAGGGCCAGTCTCAAGACATCCCTCTGGCCGGGTCAGGTAGACTATAAAAGAACTTCTTTCGGGCAGACAAAATGTGTCTTCGTGGTCAGCAAGGATGTGTTTCCATTTGAGCACAAAGCACCCGTCTGCAGGAGGCTAAACTCACCTCAATCTCATTTGCAGTCAACTCGATCCGGAAATTTTCCCTCACAAATCTCCGCCCATTTGTGATCAATAAATCCTTGAATTTCCTCAGATCCCTTTCGGGAAGTTGTTGTTTTTTGTAGTTGACAATGAAATTTTTCAAAGTTTGATTCATTTCGCGCTTTAGAAAGGCTTTAAATCTGCTTCGATCGATCGATGTTCCCTAAATTTAATGGTTTTTATAGATTTGAGAAGAATTTCCTCACCTTTACCACCATTTCGAACACTTTTAGTTCATGTTTCATCAGTTTTTCGGCAGCGCTGGAGTCTGAAAGAGAGTACTTTGGGTTGAAAAATGGAAACACACCCTCTTTCTAGTACACTCAACTCTGCATTTTCTTCACTTACAGTGACCGTGGTACTTACAAATAGGAATACAGTGACCCTTGCTCTTACCGTAACTTACGCTTGTAAACGCACCCTATCTGGTGTACTCAATGCTTCTTTGAACTTGCGACAATGATTGCAAAGAATGAAGAATTCAGTGCACCAGAAGGGGTGCGTTTTGAGCACAAAGTACAAGACTGACTCCAAGTAGAATGAAGAATTGAGTGCGCCAGATTTAGTGTGTTTTCCTTTAGCATAAAATAAAAAACTAGCCAGCTAGTTAAAATTGGAAAATGAGACCGACCTGGTCTTGAAGAAATAGTTGGTTGATCGTCTGAAACTTTCGATTCCTGAAGCTTAGCACAATGCTGGTTCACTGGAGGCAGTTGAACTTTGAGATTAGCATTGAATCGATTTTCCATTGCTTTCTCGTTTCGATCAAAAATCACCATTTTCCCGTAATCTTCCTTTCCTTTTCTCGATTCTTCTTCGATTCTCAGCATCAATTGTTCCATTTCGGCCATCACATCTTCAGCTTTCGATTTTTCTTTTCCAATTTGCTGATCTTGTCTCATTTGCGGTACAATGGATTGATTTTTGAGTTCCTCTTGCTTGGCTTTCAGTGCAGATTCCTAAAAGGAACAAATTCAATTGAAAAATCAAGCAAAATCTAAACTACACCTACAGTGACCTTTGGCGGACTCAGATCTCATTTACAACAATCTAACGTACACCAGAAATGGTGTGTTTCCAATTTTTGAGCACAAAGTACATGATCCTGATTGCAAGTTAGAGGAATTTAGGAACTTTTTCGAACTGTGCCCAGCTTTACCTCCAACTTTCTCCTCTTTTCCCTCTCGATCTCATCTTTTCTCACGTCGATCTCTCTTTGAAGTGCAATTTCTTTTTCTTTAGCCTCAATTTTCATTTTGATGCTCACAAGGGCATTGCTGGCTGTTGTCTAAAGCATTTTCAGTTTTAAAGCTTTCCCTTTTCTCTTTGAAACTTACCATAAACATTCTCGTTGCCTCTGGCTTGACTTTTTCCCATTCATCATTACAAATCTCATGTCGAAAACAGTTTTCTTCAAAAGCTTTCATTCTCGAGTCAACTTGACTTTCTAGCCATTTTTGCTCGGGAATTGTTTGGAGTTCGATCTGGAATTGAACTTGGCTTTGCACTGGACTTGAACTTTAGCGTACTTTATGCTCAAAAATTGAAAACTTATCCCACTTTTGCGAGTGTTTCCCTCATTTCGCTGTTCATCTCATTCAGCGTTGTCTGCACGAATTGGGCTTTCAAATAAATGATCCGGTTTTGAAGGAAATTCTAAATAACAGCCTTTTTGAAAGAATGTTTGTCTAAGAAATTGTATAAAACCTCCTCACCTCAAGCATTTGTATCGATGTCTCGAGAAGCTCGATCCCTGCTATGCCAATCTCTTGTCGTACCGCTCCCGTTCTTTTCATTTCAAGAGCTTCGTCAAGCTTGGAAAGCTTAAAGATACTGTAAGATCTTATGCACTTTCTAAAAGACATTTAGAAAAACCGTAGTGAAGTTTACGTTAGACATGAGCTTCAGGACGGGGTTCTTGGGACGTCCAGAAGGCTAACTTCTCACAGACAACAGACTTGCACTAGTAACAGACAACAATACTTCGTATAGCCTTGTACTTGTATTTAGCACAGTGCTGATACAGAATATTATATAGCATAGTACTAATAATGTACTACTTAACAATAGTGTGCAGAAATGTCTCTTTTGCTCAGAAAAGCATGAAAACTGGTTTTGAATATATTATTGACTCTGGACCGTAAAGTTCAATTTAGCCGAATTCCCCAACCTTTTGTATATTCGTTCTCAATTTTGCGCAAAACTCGTCGCTTTTCCTCCGGATTTCCTTGTCATTTTCGACGTTTTTGAAGTCAAGCCGCTTTTCGGATAAAATCTCCTCAAAAAACGAAACTTTACAGATTTACAAAAATGTCAAACCTGTATCTGTGACTCTAAAAGGCTCTTGGCTTCAGGAATATTCCCAGCTTTCAATAGCTCGTTTAAACGCTGATCGATCTCTTTCCGAGCCATCGTTTCCGCGATTTGCAACGTTTCTGGAGAGCTGTTCTGAAAATGAAAACATTTTTCCTTCAGATTATAGATCAATTTATTTCTGAGCTTGCTTAGTATCTAGATAATTGTCTTATCCAACCCACTTTCAAAGCTTTTCGAAAGATTTCGCTGCACTTGTTCACCGCCGCGGTTGCTTCTTTGCTTAGCTAAAATTTCCCCGTTGTACTTTGTGCTAAAAAGTTGTAAAAGCACGCTTTCTGGTGTATTGCAAGACTTGTTTTAGTGTGCTTTGTGTTAAAGTTCCTAAACACAACCCTTCTAGCGCACTGAACTCCTCATTTTTCACACAACAGCGATTTCCCTAGACTCCTCAAAAAAGCGAATCAAGTGCACCAGAAAGGATGTGTTTAGTCATTTTTGAGCACAAAGTATATCCATCTCTTACTGTAACTTTCAAGTACTGTAATGATTATTTAGCTTCATCCAAAAACTCACCACCACAGTCGTTTTCAACTCGGGTGCCTCGTATTGAAGATAGTCGACAATTTTCTGAAAATCCCAAATTTTCAAAAATTTCATTCAAAATTTATCTACTAACCTGAGCCAAATCGATTTTGTCTTCAATTTCTTTTCCCTGAAAATCCTTGCATTTTTCGATCACCGAGTACTTGATCCGGGCTAAGCAGCTGAGCAAGGCGAAATCTGAAATTTCGACTTTCAAATAGACTAGAAAATTCCAACCCGAACCTAATTCCACCTTCGCTTTCTGTTATGTTCAATTGTTCTGAAATATTGTTTACAAATAAAATTATCATTAGTATTTGCAAAGCCACTGAGAAAACGCAGGTGAAATTAGGTTCGAGTTGGAATTTTCCTATGTCTAGTTTTAATCTTAGTACTTCAATCAGTTAACTGTTAAACTGTCGATTGTCGCACTGAACTCCTCACTTTTCTCACAGCAACAATTTTCCCAGACTCCTCAGAAAAATGAGCAATCGAGTGCACCAGAAAGGATTTGTTTAGTCCTTCTTGAGCACAAAGTTTATCCATATCTTACTGTAACTGCAATGATTATTTGGCTTCAGCCAAAAACTCACCACCACAGTCGTTTTCAACTCGGGTGCCTTGTATTGAAGGTAGTCGACAATTTTCTGAAAATATCAATTTTTCAAAAGTCTCATTCAAAAGTTATCTACTAACCTGAGCCAAACCGATTTTGTCTTCAATTTCTTTTCCCTGAGAACTCTTGCATTTTTCGATCACCGAGTACTTGATCCGGTCTAAGCAGCTGAGCAAGGACCTATCTGAAATTTCGAGTTTCAACTAGACTAGGCAATTCTAACCCGAACCTAATTCCACCTTCGTTTTCTCAGTCGTGATCAATTGTTCCGAAATTTTGTTTACAAATAAAATTATCATCAGTATTTGCAAAGCCACTGAGAAAACGCAGGTGGAACTAGGTTCGAGTTGGAATTTTCCTGTCTAGTTTTCCAAAATCAAATCCCACCTTGTTCCTGAACTTCTAAAAGTTGATTCGCAAAACGAACATTATCTGAAGCTCTCGGCGTGCAGAA